GTTTTCCTATTCTCTATCTCCACTATAATCTTGACTATTTCCTTCCTTCTACTCATTTTGTGTTTAGTTTATTCTTGATTAATTGATTTGAGATATTTATTTTTAATATGGGCATTTAAAACTATACATTTCTCTGAGTATATACTTCATTGCATCACGTAAGTTTGGGTACAGCATATTAATGTTTTTTATTTTCGTTTGTTTTAAGGTATTTTCTAATTTCTCTTGATTTTTTTTTTTTTTGGTCCATTGGTTGTGTTGTTACTGTCGACGTATATGTGAATTGTCCAGTTTTTCTTCTGTTATGTCAGGGACACTTTCATGGGAATTTCTCTATTTCCTTGGGCAGAGGAAGGAATTCATGAGTAGACAAGAAAAAAGCAGAACAAAGTGGAATGGATTCTGGTCGCCTATTCACAGAGCTACTTGTCTTCAACATTTAATAAAATGAGTTTATATTTTATTTAAATGACTCTCTCCAGCAATGACAGTGACAACTACAGAGAAACTTTAGTATTTATCCTACAATAGGGGAGAGAGGTAATAATGTAGCAGAGAGAGGGGTGGGATAACAGAAGAGGATAAAAGATAAGGAACAAAATTACAATCGTGTGGAAATTTGTACGACCAAGGTGACATTGAAGATAATTTGGCAAAAGAATGGTTATGCTAGGGGTTTTAAACACTGGCTGTGCATTTCATTCAACTTGGGGAATTGACCAAATAATCTCCAGGCCTTCACTCCAAACCACAGACCATGAAAAAAGGAAAAGACTGAAGACTTGGGTTTGTAACAAAATTTTAATGCAGTTATTCATCCAAAGATACCATTTTCAAAAGTGAACACGGAAGCCATGAGTTCAACTTCTAGGAATGGTGAAGCAGGTAATTTTAAACAATAAACACACTGAGAACTACTATAAAAATGATGCAAAAACTTTGTCTGTTGTAAAGCAGAGAACTAATAAAGAAGGACATTTTTAGCTATAATCCAGGAGCCTAACATTTGCTGCCTTTTTTTCCCTAGAAAAAAAGAACTTACCAATTCTATGAATGGCAGCAGAAATCCTGAGAAGATAAGCTAGGAACTGATACACCCAGTGGTCTCCGGGAAGTTCTCGAAGTGCTGGCTGTCCTTCTCAGGGACGAAGGGCCGCAGACTGAGCAGCAGGAACTGGCGGCCGTCCCCGTGGAGCTGCCACAGGTTGACGGAGAACTCGTGCACCGAGGCCCTGGCGCGGTGCTCGTGCAGCAGGGAGGCAAACTGCTGGGTCTCCTGCGATGAGAGCTTGGCGCGCAGCGTGAGCGTGTAGTCCTGCAGCAGCTCAGCGCCCATGGTGCTCAGCTCACTCCCGCTGACCGTCCTGGCATGTGGTGCCATCTGTATGCAGAAGGACAAGGGCGAGACGCCCTACAAGTGCATACACTCAGGGAAGGAGAAGGTGCTGGCTTCTGTGTCATAGGGCTCCTTCACGTCCACCTTTGTGGGAGAGTCATCACTGTGAAGAGACAGGTGGTGGGTGGGGGTCGAGGCCCCATCAAATACGGCTCTGTCCAGGGAGTCAATGGTGGACTCTGGGTACACAGTCTGGAAGACTTGCAAAGCAGGGAGCACAGCTCTTCTGCGGTGACCTTGCTCTCTGCGGCCAGGACACCAGGCAGCACGTCTCCATGGGCCCCACTCCGCTCTCCGACAGGGAGTCTGCGGCGAGGCCTCTGGAACTTTCTGCACACACACCCTGGCTGGGGGAGATGCCGGGGTCCCGGGCTGTCTTCAGGATCACCAGGTGTGA